CAATCTTTGTTGTCTTATTTTAAGCACGTGTAAGTGGCAAGTTGCTATCTATTAATAGCATAACTCTGCAGTCTTATCAGATGGGAGGTGTGGCCAGCTCCCTAATATGCTTAATTGCTGTCCGTGTGGATATTTATCTAGGTCAGATCCGGCCTTTAAGAACCAAAGAATAATAAACAGGTATGTTGAGTATTTTTATAAAACACTTCTTCCAAGCAATTTTATGATGCTAGTCGATTTTTATTCGGGACAATGTTTCTTTATTATTGGTCAGCTTGCAATATACAATGTCAAATTTTTGCCAAAAAATTAAATGAAAAATTGGTTTTCAAAGAGTACAAAGCCCAGAAGAATCATTTTATATTCGAGATATAAAAATCGAGATTTGAGCGTAGTAAGAATTAAGTATAACAGTTAATAAACATTGAATGTTATACGTTTGATTCAATTTTAAAGTGGTTTTCTTCTGAAGAGCAAGGATAAGTAATTCATCGATAATGAAGTAATCATCGATTGATGAAATAATGGCCTTTGTGCCCTAATTAATATCAATTACTGATATAAAGCATGGTTTGTAAAATCTTAATATGTGATCTTTAACATGAGAGTTATGGAGATAACGAACAGTATTCAAACTCAACGACCATTAAACAATATACATAATAAGAGCAGAGCAAACACGGACCTCTGAAACATCAGAGGTGGGATCAGGTGCCATGGAGGAGTGAGCATCCCCTGCCGACCGGTCACACCCGCCGTGTGCTCGTTGTCATGATCAGGAAATAACGGGAAAAAATCCGTCGTCAATTCAGTGTATAAATAATGGACTAACAATTGGTATGAAAAACGTCAGTCAGCATATGACTCAATGATAAATTGTATTTGCTGACAAGGTCATTGTATCGACCATAGAATTTACGAAATGATGACATTAAACGAGACTGTTGATATTCTTGTTTCATCAACATGCTTGTCAATAATTTACCTCGTTTAAGAAATTGCTCATACGAAGAGCACACTCTTGCGTATCGAATCAACTGAGATATACATACTCCGTATGCATGTGATGAAAGTATATTGCTGCATAAATAAGGAAAGTTGACGATAGAAAACTTAAAGTCATCACGTTTATCATATAGCTTGGTTGTTAGATTACCATTAGTGTCTTTTTCAAGTAAAATATCCAAGTATGAAGCAGGTGTGTCGGACTCTGTGGTACCTTTTATCTCAAGCTCACCAGGATATATCGTATCGACGTGGGAATGGAAATTATCATTATTAATTGACAATACGTCGTGGATATATCTAAATGTCGAGTTGAAGGTCACAGCAAGTGTTTTCTTCTTTTCGCGCATAAGATTTTGTATAAATTCTGCTTCATATGAATATAAAAATAAGTCTGCTAATAACGGAGCGCAATTTGTACCCATGGGAATTCCAATAGATTGTTGGAATACCTGGTCTCCGAAAACCACAAAGATATTGTCAATCAGAAACTCAAGCATCTTCTTGATGTCAACTTCAGAGTACTTTTGTGTGCAATCAGAATCTGTTTTAACAAAATAATTTTTCAAATGACCAATGACGAGGTAAGTAAATTTACGAGTTCCATTTTTGTCGAAGAAGCAGCTGTCAATGATATCAAAAAGCCTGGATTTTAATTTGTTGTGGGGAATCGTTGTGTATCAAGTTGAAAAGTCGTAATTTTTTAAGCTGTTGATTTTTGTGAAGTCTTATGATTTCAAATTGTCCAAAAGTTCTTTAGAATTTTTAAGTTTCCACATCTGATTTACACCACTTCTTGAGTATATAGTTGCACAGTACTCTTGAAGTTTTTCCTTCACTACTGTCAATATTTTAGTGAGAAGTAACGAAAGAGGCTTGGTTGAACATTTACTGGAATCTGTAATGTATCTTTGTTTGTAAGGATTCTTATGAAGTTTCGGAATCCAATATATATAGTAGTTCAAATTCATTTTGGCTCTGTGGAATATTAAAAGTATTCAAAACAGGTGATTTTGAAGAATTTCTTCCTTAGAAAGAGAAGTATGAGTATAAGTAGGATTACCACTTGTAGAATTAAATCCAAGTTCTTCTAGAATACAATTTATATATGAGCCTTACAAACGAAGACAATGTTGTTACCTGCTTTGTCGGCAGGAACCAGTACGTACTGATCGTGTAATCTATCCAATTCTTTTTTCACTTCTGGTTTATTGAACACAGAAGGATAGATGGTTTTCATTTTGCCCCTCAGTCTTTTGATACGTGACTTTAACATGGATCTGATACATTTAATCCATTCTGACAAGGTGTCAATGTCTTTTTTTTCATATTTGGCCCATCGTCTGGCGTAATTTTCAACAGAATCCATAATATTTATGAAATTCCGACGCCAGTTGAAGGATCAGGGTTCCCTAAGGAGAAATATTGTTGATTTGATTAAGGAATCATGTCTCCGTGTCTCTTTTAATCATTTTAAGTGGTGCTAGTCACTGATCTAGCCTTGCCCTTCTGTAGTAAATAAGTACGTGCCAGATTTCTTAAATTATAAGTGGTACTTATTTTGTAACATGCTTGACATAAAATGTTCACCATTATCATTGTGTATTACTCTTTCTCAAACGGTCATCTTTCGGTCAACTGCAACAATGGAGATCCCTGATTTTATTTCTTCCTTGTTTAATACGTGAGCGAAACCCTGATTTGAGAAAAGATGTTTATTTTGATCATTTAAAGTTCTTTTCTATAGAACTAGTCATGTTTGCTGTTATCGGTTATAATTAAAAGTTGAAATACCATGCTTTTTGTTTGTTCTTTGTACAAATTAGAAGGAATACAGCACCACCACATTTAGTTTTTTCTCTCTCTAAAACACTCATATGGTTCATGGTGAATTTAAATTCTATAGCTAAAATTTTCAATGACGATAGACAGACACCACTTACTTTTCGATCAGAAATACTCAGTTGAGCCATCGACTCAAGTGAGCTAATAAAAAGCTCCTGATTCTTGTAAAACGGTCTTAACTGGCAGTTAATAAAAAACAGGAGACTGTTTTCAGATGACAACTGAATGTTGGAATTATTGCCAGAGGATAATTCATGCCCTAAACCAACATCACAATTTACAACATGTAAAGAAAATCTGACCAACAATTTAAACGTTAGTCAAAATAAATTTTTTTTCAGAATAAGTGGTATTATCGTCAACTCCCCTTACTTGTGGAACAATACACCCTCATTACCCATAGGCGTCGGAACCGGGGGGGGGGGGGGGCTAGGGGGGCTTAGCCCCCCCCCCCCCACTTTTTATCCAAATATATACTTATTATAGACTTAGCCCCCCCCCCCCCCACTTTTTTCCAAATATACACTTAGTATAGACATTGAACATTGTTTCGTAAGTTTAGCCCCCCACTTTCCACAGACACGTCGCAGTATAGGTAAAAATTGGGGAAAAGGTGGTGTTTGGAAAAAAATTTGGTATTGAAGTTCGAATTAACCCCCTCACCCCCCCCCCCCCCCCCCCCCCCACGAAATAGGATTTTTGTGTTTATTTGGGAAATTTACCGGTTGTTTTTTTTTTATTATTTTTTTTGCTTGTTAGATTTTTTGAGAAGGTAAAAAAAAATTTTCTTACACTTAGCCCCCCTCTTTCAATTTGCTTCCGACGCCAATGTTACCTGCATACGGGGTTTATACCTCTCAGTTGATTCGATACGCAAGAGAATGCTCTACGTATGTACAATTTCGAAAACGACTTACTAAATTAATGACAAACGAGTAACTGAAAGAAGAATATCAGTAGTCTCTTTAAAATCCATTCTTTGGTAAGTTATATGGACGATATAATGACCTTGTCAGGAAATACAATTTTATCATTGTCTGACTAACTTTCTTCATACCAAATGTTCGGCCATTATGTACACACTGGATTTGGACGGATTTTTTTTCTCGGTTATTTCCCGATCATGACAAGGAGCACATGACAGGTGTGGTTGTTCAGCAGAGGATGCTCCCGGACAACTGATTGAAACTGATGTTTTGAAGATCCGTGTTTTCTGTTTTGTTTTGTGAACTATCGGCCGGGGATACTCACTCCTCCATGGCACCTGATCCCATCTCTGATGATTCAGAGGTCCGTATTTGTTCTGCTCCTATTTACCGGTATATTATTTAATGTGCGCTAAAGCTTAAATAATACTGAACGTTATCTCCAAATATATTTCACTTGATACAAAAAAACAATCTTATTTCAGATGAATGGGAACAAGCATTTTTTAATTTTTAATGTAAAAAAAATATAGATGATTACTCAAGGTAATCAAGCAAACATTACGCATGATATATAGATTGTTTAAGTATATTTCTCAGATATACATTTGTGGTGCAGTGGTAGAGCGTCTACTCTGGAGTGGCGGAGTAAGTTATATCTTAAGTCACGGGATCGCATCCTATTCATGAGCCGTTCTTTCAAGTCTTACCCAAAACTAGCCTTTTGCAAAAATATTGCGTTTTGGAATTGTGCGGGATAATTAAAAGCTCTAGATCCATCCGAACACTCTATCATTCATTAACCTCGACGTAAGTATCGGGAAAGGGATTAGTTAGATGAGCGCTGTTGTATTTCTAATTGACACTCCGATGTTATCCTATATATTGAAGAGATTTAAGAGAAGACGGTCAACTGCTTTTTAAAAATCCTAAAGTTAATTTCTTCCGTGTTGCCTTTCTTTAAAAGAGCAGGTTAAACAACAGAAACATTCATTTTGATAATTAACACATTTCAGAAGGTAAGGGTTTCACCATTCCATCTAGAGTGATTGTTTCATAAATGTTTTGATAAGTTAAAAATTGATTGGTCTATAACTGAACGTTAATTGTGTGTTTTTCTATTAAGCTATTTTTTTTTTCATAGTTAAGTGCAAATTTGTTGCAAAGGCATTTCTCAACAATAAATGCATGAATAATAATCCTTATATTTTGTCTTTTAGACAATGTGTTTGACGACATCCTTTTTATTTGTTTTGATGCTCGTCTTTGTCAGTGCAGGTAAATATTTAAATATCATAACCAAATACCTGCAATGGCGATTTAATTTGTTTAAATGTTTACTTTGTAATTATTATTTATTAATATTTTGCTTCTGTAATGTCTCATGTAAACAGCTAAATACACATGTATATGTTTTTGATAAACTGATAAAATTTAATTTGAGTTGTAATGAGGTATTTCATTGGATAAAAAATTTAATTTATTTCATATAACGTACGTTGCCTACGTCACAATGATTTAGGTCAAAAACGTATTACTCCGCTTGACATAACTTTTAAAATGTGCTCAATTTGAAGCTATTTTTGGAAGAAAATTGTCATCTTGTCTACATTGAAATTTATGGTGGCATATTTATGCCATCCACATGATTTTTTGTCAACATAGCATATTATGTCAAGTCAAGATAACTATCTCGTCAAGTCAGGATAACTTTCTGGTTTGTCGACAAACTTCGACTTTATATCTTGTCCAGTCAAGATAAGCTATCACATTTTGTTGCAATAATATGGTGGCATATATGTGTGGGTGTTTGTTTAGTTAGTCTAGACTTAAAATACGCCATATGTGACTTTTAAAAACTATCTGAAACAACAAATGTACTATGCTATTATATATATGTCTATGAAACAATCTCCGAAACGGTATCTTTCTTTTTTTCAATCCCATTATTAAACCATCAAACTAAGTATACGTTTTTATTAAAAGCTCAACGCTAGAATTTATTTTCACGTGGAGTTTATTTTGGATAATTATATTGCCTAATTTCATTGAATGTTTTTTTCCGCCGAATGCCTCTTAAAAAGATTAGCCTTTTACAAAAGGTTATTATTTTCCTTGACCTTAATTTTCAGAGAACGAACATTTGTCAAAGCCTAACTCCCTTGGCAGCGACATTGCAAGGTGAGATACGATTATGGTGGCATATATCTGCCCCTACATGCAAGATAAATTATGTAAACGCATGCAACATAATTCTGTAGACATGCAACATAATTATGTTGACATACAAGTCACCAATTTTATACGAAAATAAAATTTAGATACGTGTAAACTGACTTACTAAAGCCTCTATCTGACATCGTAGATGCAAGATGCAACATAATTATGTAAACGTGTTACTTATTTATGACAGCATGTAAGATAATTATGTCAACATGCAGCTTACTTAAGTTAATTAACATGCAAGATATGTCAACATGTGACTTATTTATGTCAACATGCAAGATAATTATGTGAACATGCAAGATATTTAAGTTATCTTGCATGTTGACATTAATATCTTGTATGTAATAACATAGTTCGAATGTTGACATAAGTTAGTCGAATGTTGATATAAATAAGTAGCATGTAAACATAATTATCGTATACATGTGAACATAAAATCTAGAGTATCTTGTATGTCTAAATACTTATCTCGCTTGTTAACATAGATAAGTTGCATGTCTACATAATTATCACGCATGTTAACATAAGTTAATCGTATCTTGACATAATTATGTTGCTTCCTGCATCCATGATTTCAGATACCGGCCTACGTAAGTGATTTTAACGATATTAAAATCAGAATCTCTTCCAAAATTTGTAACTTGCATATCAACAAAATTATCTTGCATGTAGACATAATCATCTTGCATGATGACATAACCTTCTTGCATGTTAACATAATTTGTCTTGCATGTAGGAGGTAGAAATATGCCACCATAGATTCCTTCGTGAAATTAGTCCAATCTGTTTAGAATTCATAGCATCACTTCAAACCAACATTGTTTTTACAATAAATTCAGGAAATTAAAATACATGTAGTTGTAATTTAAATTTTATCTGTTGCAATGTCGTTAGTCATTGCAGAAATCCAAGAAAAGTTAATGTCAAAGTTGTTTTTTTTTTTACAATTATATAATTTTTTTTACCTGCTGTACAAGCTCCAATCTCAGTATTACGTTAAGCTTCAACGTCATCTTTAAAATTTGCCATCTTTAAAATTAGTTTGCAATCTTTAAAATTAAACATTTACTTATCTAAAAGCCTGACTCTCAGTATTAATCAATGTCTGACGCCATGTTGATTGTGTCATTATAGTAACATTTTTGTGTTGCAGACACCGATATAAACGGGGTTTATATCCAGGTCAGAATGAGTACGAGTACTTCCGGCAATATTTTGGAGAAAGAGGCCTTGAACAGGAATTTCGCAGCGCCATACAGAAGGGAAGGATAGAAGACTGGGGGCGTTTGAATGTCAAGAATTATGGGGATGCCGTTAGAAGTTCCACACAGTTTTATGCAAACCAAGCCGAGAGAGGTATATATGTAGTATGAATAAATGATTTTACTTATGAGTATTTTATTAGAATTACATTCTTTTTTTTGTTTGTCAATAATCCCCCCCAATGCACACACACATACACACACACCCCTCACACCCACTCACTCACCCTCTCTCTCACACACACACACACACACACACACACACACACACACACACACGACACAATCGATGTTTCACCCTAACCTGGTCTAATTGTGCATATCAATAAGAATAACTATGGATAAAAGTTAAAATGGCTAAACAATTCTAAAATTAGGGCATTTTTAAAATAAAGTTGCATTTGTAAAGTACGCGTCTCTCAACTTCCCTAACTTTTGTAGCAATACTCTTATTTATATGTTTATATCTCTCAGTTTATAAGATACAAAAAAGCATGCTCTACGTAGAACGTTTTCATAAACAAGAAATGTAATTGACAAACGATTTGAAGAAACAGTCTTGTTAAAAGGCATCATTTATTAAGTTTTATCGTCGATACCATGACCTTGTCGGCAAATAAAATATTTCATTAAGTCAAATGATGACCGATAATTTTCATACTAATAATAAGACATTTACATACATTGTGGATTGTCTACGGATTTTCCCCCAGATGTTCTCTATCATGACAGGGAGTACACGCTGTTTGTGACAGGTCGGCAGGGGATGCACACTCCTTTATAGCACCTGATACCACCTATGATGTTAAAGAGGTCTGTGTATCTTCTGCTCCCGATTTTTAGCTCTATTGGTCAAAGATCAGAGGAGCTTAGGCGAAAGTCCGTGATCCGTCCGTCCGCCTAGCTGTTTGTTTGTCTGTCTACCTGTAATCATTACTTTCAAAATGCTAATCCTCCTACACTTTTGGTTGGATTTCAACATAACTTGGCAAACAAGTAGACTACTTTATAAGGCATCATTCTGTTGATTGTTTTTTTGAATTTGATGAACGGAGTGAACAGTGTTACTGAAATTTCTTTGAAATATTCTCAAAATGCTACTCCTCCTACACTTTTAGTCTGATTGCAATAAATCTTGCCAAGAAAAATACTATACCAAAGACCATTGTTTAATTTATAGCTTTTGCAAAGTTTAAGTTCAAATGCCAGTTGTCTCTTCCTTTGTTACAAGTACAAACCAATAGAGCTACAGTCTCGTCAGATACTTCTGGTTATTGTTTGAATGGACTTTTGAGCTTGTTCATTATTTCCATATACATGTACTAGTAATTTAATTATCCAGCGTGAAATAAGATGGACTCATGTCGTTTTTCGATTGTGGATTATGGGTGTTTACGTGTCATAGAATAAATTAAAGGAAAATAACTCATTTTTGAAAACTGTAATAAACAAACTTTTGACCGAGTTTTTCAAAGTGCAATATTGATTTTTTTCCCCGAAACTCTTTTTGGATTTTGCAACTTGTCAGATTAAAAATGATTCCATAAATTACAGAGCACACTTCAATTCCTACTCATGAATTTGAACTATATAAAGTTAGCTTATCAATTATTGAAGATTAGAGTTTAAAGCTTTATTTTCAAATTTATTTAATAGCTATTATTATATTATTTTATATAAAGTGTCATTGTAGAAGTTTTTGCTATGTAGGTGTGAATGTGGAAACCCAGTTAGATAGGATGGAGAAGATAATAGATGACCGGTATCGAAGTGCTTCTCGTTTTGGTGGACCAGATAAAGCACACCAACGTGTGATTGATGGCTGGAAAGATGGACGAAGTCGTGTTAAAGAAGGCAAGTCCCGGTCTGTAAGCTTCCGGTCTAAATCTAACTGTGGCCGCAAGAAGAGAGGTATCGGTGCATTCGTCAAACTTATTGTACGTCTCATTGGGCGCCTGGCATCGAAAGGGAGGTCTTTCAAAGGTTTAACACGAAAATTTTCTGGCATTAGACGTTCAGGCACAAGAAGAGTGAGATGTTAGTCTAAAGAAAAAATGAGTTTCTTATTCATTAGAAAAACGTGGTGTTGGGTCTCAATTGACTTCAATTAAATGTAATTATATGTATACTGTATATAAAAATAACAATTGAACAATTTTCAAATTTCAGCTTAATATTTTCTTTTTAATAAACCTTATTACTACAATGTAATAATTTTCTTTGTTTGTTTACTTATCTTTTTTCAAATAATTATTTAATTAAAAAAAATATACGTATATATTGCGTGTGGAATCAATTGAGATATATTAACCCCGTATGCATGTTATGGAGGTATATTGGTGCGTAAGTTGGAAAGTTGACGCTTGTAACATTAAAATTATCACGTTTATCATAGCGCTTGCTTGTTAGATTTCCATTTACTTTTTTTCAGTTAAATATCCAAATATGAAACAGATGTGTCAGACTATGTTGTATCTTTTATCTCAAGCACACCAGGACATATCGTATCGACATAAGAATAGAAATTATCATCGTAACATGACAATACGTCGTAGATAAATCTATCGAGTTGAAAGTCACAGTAAATGCTTTCTTCTTTAACACGCATAATATTTTGCACAAATTCTGCTAAAGATAAATACAAAAACATAGCTCTGCTTGTAACGGGGTGCAATGGTTCCTTTCGGAATTTCCAATAGATTGTTGGAAGACCTGGTCTCCAAAAATCACATAGATATTGTCAATCAAAAACTCAATCATCTTTTTGATAACTATTTCAGAGTGCTTGTGTGTACAATCAGAAAGTTTTTTTAACAAAATAGTTTTGCTAATGACCAATGCCAAGGTTAGTAAATTTACGATTTCCATTTTTATCGAAAAAGCAGCTGTCAATGATATCAAGAAGCCTAGAGGAGAACGTTTGTGTATAAAGTTGAAAAGCTGTAAGTTTTTAAGCTGTGATTTTGGTAAAAATCTTGTGATTTTAAATTGCTTAAGTTATTTGGCATTTTTAATTATCCACATCTGATTTACACCACTTCTTGGATATTTTGTTGCACAGTACTCTTGATGTTTCACTGCTTTTACACTGTGATATCTAAGTGAGGAGTATAAAGAAAGAGGCTTGAACATTTACTGGAACCCGCTATGTATCTTTTTTCTAAGGATTTTTATGATGTTTCGGAATCCAATATAGATATGGTAATTCAAATTCATTTTTACTTTTTTTGATCTTAAAAATATTCAAAACTGACATGAGATTTTGAAATCATTCTTCCTTAGAAAGGGAGCTGTGAGTATAAGTTTGATTACATGTACCACTTGTAGAATTATATATAGAAGTTGTTCTAAAATACAGTTTATATAATGAGCCTTACAAACGAAGACAATTTCAAATTGCATGAAAAAAATCTGTAATTTCATATTGAATGACGATGTTTATATTTCCTAACGTATATAAGCCGACCTACTTTTCGCACTTAGACATGTACATTCTTTAAAAAATAGATATTCAGATACTAGTCTATCAAACGGTCAAATGTCAGACAGAAGATCCTTTAACGACATTTCTAATTCATTTTTGATTAAACTATTTTAAAGATAAATTAATTGAAAAAATATCAAAGTTCGAAATCCACCAGTGAAAAATATTTTACAACATACCTCACTCTATGAACAAGCTGATGTGAATTTATTTTACCCAACAATAGTCATAATAGTACAAAAAACCAGGTTTAACAAGACAATATAGATTTCAGCCTGGCCCGAATTGCTGATTAAGAAAGATATTGAGATAACGAAGAGTATTCAATCTCAAAGTCCGCAAAACAATACAAAACAGGAGCAGAGCAAACACGGGCCTCCGAAACATCAGAGGTGGGATCAGGTGCCATGGAGGAGTGAGCATCACCAGCTGACCGGTCAAACCCGCCGTGTGCTCCTTGTCATGGTCCGGAAATAACAGGAAAATCCATCGTCAATTCAGTGTGTAAATAATTGATTAACAATTAGTATGAAAAACGTCAGTCAGCATTTGACTCAATGATAAATTGAATTTGCTGACAAGATCATTGTATCTACCATAGAACTAACGAAATGATGACTTTAAACGAGACTGTTGATATTCTTGTTTCATCAACTTGCTTGTCAAAAATTTACCCCGTTTTAGAAATTGTTCATACGTAGAGCATGCTCGTGCGTATCGAATCAACTGAGATATATCTTTCAAGTAAAATATCTAAGTATGAAACAGATGTGTCAGACTCTGTAGTATCTTTTACCTCAAGCTCACCAATGATATATCGTATCGACGTAGGTATAATATACCTATATAATATGGAAATTACCATTGTTAATTGACAATACGTCGTCGATATATCTAAATGTCGAGTTGAAGGCCACAGCAAGTGTTTTCTTTCTTACCCGCATAAGATTTTGCACAAATTCTGCTTCATATGAAAATAAAAATAGGTTTGCTTATAACGGAGCGCAATTGGTACCCATGGGATTCCAATAGATTGTTGTTACATGTATCCTTTCTATTATTTTTTTGTTAACTTTTTGAACTGTGCATTATATCCAAACTTTCTTAGTAATGCAAACAAATATGTGTATTCAGCTACTGTAGTTTCTGAATGTGTCATAAATTTAGCAGCCACCGATTGCAGCTTTTTGTTTAAAATATACTTTTGTCACAAGGTAGATAATGGGTAACTCCATCGAACAATATCGTGCTGCAATCGGTCTTTTTTATTTATCTGGCAGATGTACATCAAAAACCTGTTTATGGTCGTTTTTTCCAAGCGCATGTTTATTGCAACTAATGCAAAATGTTTTTAGAATACTTGCTCATTGCTTGACATCCATTACCCTAAAATCTGTGTACATCAACTTTTATTTACAATTTTTCACATTTGTTCTATTGGCATGTGGTGATATTGAGGTCAATCCGGGCCCGATTGAAAATGTCCTTGACATTCTACACCTTAATATTCGTAGTATTAGAAACAAATTAGATTACTTAAACTCTTCCGTTCATGACTTCGATATTTTATGTTTTACCGAAACCCATCTTGACCAAACGGTAAATAATGATGACTTATATTTGGATGGGTTTTGTAATATAATACGAAAAGATAGGAATTGTTTCGGGGGAGGTGTCATGATCTATTTTTCTAATCAAATACGTGTTATTAGACACTATGATTTTGAACCGTCTGACATTGAATGTATTTGTATTGAAATTGATAACCATACCTCTAAAATCTTTTTATGCTGTGTATATCGTCCTCCGAACTCTGATAGTGGTTTTTGGACCAAACTGTCATGGTGTGTTGACAGAATGAGTGAAAAATCGGATAAAATAATTTTAGTCGGTGATATTAATGTTGATCTCCTTAATACTCCACAACACATATCATCCATGAAATTATCTCAACACATAACCTTGTTAATAATATCCACGAACCTACAAGAATTACACACACGTCGAGCACGCTCCTTGACCCAATTTTCACTTCAGTTGATGTCCAAGTTCGTGAATCGGGTACATTAGTAATGGACTCTTCCATAAGTGATCACAGAGCTACCTATTTAACGCTTTCTTCTAACATAAATTACAATCGATCTTACAAAAGAAAAAATTGGGCTTATAAAAGAGCAGACTTTGTTAAACTAAATTCTTTAATTGAAAATTGTGATTGGAATAAAAATATAAACGAGGCTCAGTCAGTAGATATAGCAACGGAAAATTTTACATCTGAATATCTTGCGTGTGTTCGCGAATGTGTTCCTGAACAAACGGCTTCAATTGTTTGGGATGGCCGCTCTAATAATAATGCCGAAAAGCTTGAAAGAGTTCAATTATCTGCAGCTAGAATTGTTACAGGACTTCCAATTTTTGTGTCAAGAGAAATACTTTACTCTGAAACTGGCTGGGAAACATTGAAAGTTAGGCGCTATAATGCAAAAATGACCACGATGTACAAAATTCATAATGGTAGTGTATCTGAATATTTGAATGACATTGTTCCAAACAAGCGCGAAAACATTTCAAAATATAATACCCGTAATAAGGAATAATACGCTGCCCCAAGATGCAGATTAGAATTATATAAAAGATCTTTTATTCCTGACGCTGTGAAACAGTGGAATTTATTAAAGACAGAAACAAGGGAAGCTATCTCTCTCAATGCGTTTCGAAAAAACTTAACTATAGAAGTAAAAAAATCCCCCAATCTATTTTTCATTTGGCAAACGTTATACAAGTATAATCCATACTAAACTTAGACACAGCTGTATACTTAATTATGATTTACACAAAAGAAATATTATTAATAGCCCTTTATGTTCATGTGGAAAGTATGAAGATGTTTATAATAATAATAATAATAATAATGCTTTATTTAGAGAAGGTAACCCGATTAGTACCAGGTACTATTCTTCCCCGGGGCCTTCTAATTTCAAACAACATATTACATAAAATGATACAATCAAAGATAAAACATGTAGAGTTCGTTAGTGCATAATGTAATGTACATCTAAATGAGATATAGATTCAAAATTGATAAAGAAGTCAATATTAATTGTTCAAGAGACATTGTCTTAAACAACAGTAATAGTCAAACATCTTGTTCAAAGGACACATTCAAACATTTATTTACATACGTTGACTAATTATAATTTTTTCTACATTTCGTCTAAAAATAGGTAAGGTTGGTGATAATTTTATATGTAATGGTAGGTTATTCCATAAATTTACACCTGAATATTGAATAGAATTTGTAAATAAAATTGTTCTATGTTTTGGTAAACGAAGATTATAATTTAATTCTGAACGTAATGAATAGGAATCATTGCTATGAAAAACAAAAAGGTCCTGGAGATATTCGGGGCTCATACCATAAAAAGTTTTGTACAATAAAATACACTTATGTAGTGTGACTAATTCAAATACATTTAGCCATCCCAGTTTTTCAAACAATGGTTTTGATTGTTCGTCGGGTGCTGCATCAAGAATAATTCTAGCAGCCCGTTTCTGAAGTTTATGAATTCTTTCAATGCTAGTTTTAGATGCATTGCCCCATATTGTAAGACAATAGTTTATTGAGGGCAAAATATATGCATTATAAAAAAGTTTTCTGGTATTAAATGGAAGAAATTTCT